TTTTTTAAAGGAGCCCCCCCGGTGATATCGGAGGTTGTTCCCCCCCCCCCCCCCCCCGCTATAGGTGAAAAACCACAAAGTAGGAACGCTATATTTATTTTTTAGTATTTATATATTTTAAGTCTTTATAAACTCTTCCCACACTCCTGTAATGTTCTAAACTCAAACTTACGTAATTTTAATGCGTGTGTGTACTGTACAGTACTGCAAAGTTTTATATGGGTACTCTCCAGCCTTGGTCCAGTTCTGATTGGCTCTCACCAAGAGGCTTCTAGAGAGAGCCGGACCTTCAGAGAGCCAGCACAGAACCACACAGTGGTCCTGATCAAGTCCAAATCCAGATTTAAAAAAGTCCCGGTGAGCTCCAGAGAAAACACTGGACCTTTAAGAAACACCTCCCTGCTCGAGAGGCCTCATGGGCCGACAAGCATGGCTCAGATTGACCGATGAGGCTGGAAGTCCGGTTCTGGTCCAATTCCCGGTCACTTCCGTACGGCTCTCTGGATCCACTGAGCGCTGAAGTCACTATTAATAGGCACCAAACTTTTTAGTCAGGTTCAGATCAAACTTTCCTTCCATTTCAGCAGAAAGCAGTGGGCGGAAGCAATGTTGGATTCTGGGTAATGTAGTTCTTTTGACTGCTGATACAGTATAGGCTTATTGAGAGAAAACTACAACATGGCTGCACCTGTCCAAAGTATTTTTTCCATTAACTTTTTACTGTATCCCGTACCGTCCCAATCATTTGAGTAAAATTAAAGTTGACAGTCGTGTACAATCTTACTTTGAAAAACAGCGAAAGAACAAGACTGCAAAAGTCGAACTGCGAAGTGGCGAGGGACTGGTGTATTTGTGACAGACGTAAGGTTGTCAGAAACATGGAGCTACACCTGGAACACGTGACGCATTTGAGAGTTTATCCTTGAGCCTTTTTGTCTGTGGTAGAATAAAAAGCTCCAGTTTTCTAACGTCCAGACGCAGCTCTGAGTCAGATCTTCAGTGATGACTAGTTGCTGACAGAAGAACCAGCCGACCTGTTGCTGCTGCCTCTAAACGACTCGTTCTGTGTCTCTGCAGCAAGACGACGAGCGGATCATTCAGGAGATCCAGAAGGAAGGTGAAGCCGAGCTCAATAAGAAGTGTGCAGGTTAGTAAGAGGACGTGCGTGGTGTAACAGTGCACGTGTTTGTGAACGTTCTTAAAATAAATGTGTGTGTGTGAAAACTGAGATTCTCGTTGTACTGTGGCTTCTGTGCTCCGTTACGCACCTTGTTGATGTTTCTGTTCCTGCTTCAGACCGGGTTCAAAATAGTTCCTGGGTTTAGTTTGTGTTTTCTTGTTGTGTGAAGCAGAGGGCAACTTTTTTATCAGCCGGCCGATGTTTTGACTTGAACACGAATCAAAAGGCCACAAATTCATCAGCACCGTGGCTACAGAGGAGTCTTTTTCAGAGCAAGTCTTACTGTGTTTGGCACGTTGGGTAGATGTTTGTTATTGACCAGCGTGGAGTTCTTTGACATCAGCATGAAGTTTAATGATCTGAAAAGCTATGAAATGTGTCCTCGTTTAGCCTCGCCTGGATTAAAACTTCTGCCTTTTCTCCAAACTCCATGCTCTGACTAACTACTGATAACTGTGTGACCGAACATCACTTAAAAATGACCAGACTGTCCCTTTAAGGACGTCGTGGACCATACGGCAGTGATCCGGGGGCCACTTCTCGCCCTCAGGTCACATTTTGGAGTAATTGATGTCGTCGTGACTCGTCTGTATTTTTGTTTTCCTCCTCCTCAGATAATTCAGAAAAAAGACTGGGCCCGCCCCCGGAGGTCAGCGCAGAGGCCAAGAGACCCCGTGTGGGTCCGCCACCAGAAAACCCAGCCAACCCGAACCCAGCGCCCCCCCCAAGCGGTACAAGCCCCCCTGTTCGTTCCGCCGCGCGGCCGCTTCCCGGAGGTGTTCCCGCAGCCTCTCCCTCCGGGCCGGATGTACCACCAGATCATCATACCCCGGCTGCCCCCGGCACCTTACGCCCCCATCCCCCAGAACCTGCCCCACATAAACAACAACAACCAGCAAAACCACAACCACCCCTTCAACCCTCATCATCACAACATGGACCTGCCCATGCACTACGGACCCCCTCCACGCTACTACAGACGTTTCTAACACGCTGTGGGCAGGCGTGTGGATCCACACACCACAGTCTCTTCAGTGCAGATCCTCCGTTTCAATGTTCATTGCACAAAAATGGCCTTTCGCATTAAACCGAAGCAGAGCTGCGTTTGTAAAACTCAAAAATAAAAACATTCAGGCTTCGCCATCTTCTGGGATTTTTCAGCAACATGTTTTTTTCCCCCCTCTCGTTTTTTTCTCTTTAAGTTCTCGAGGCGAGCTGACAAACAGTTTGAAGCTTCGAGGCGGCTTGTCTGCTTTCTACAGATATTTTTGAGATAAAAAACATAAAAATTAAAACATTAACATTCCCTTTTGTATCTTTTGTCATACAGGTGTGAGAGTTTTTCAATAAAGTTTTTGTGTTCAAATGTCCCGCCTCACTTTAACCAGGAGGAGGAGATGTCTCTGTTCTTGTGGGGAAACAGCTGACTCACGCCAACAGCCCGGGGGCTGTGCACCAATCACATGACAGATGGAGGGGGGGTCCACCAATCATCTGCCAGGATCTGTGAGGGGTCTTCTTTGTTCAGCCGGGTGTGACAAATCACCCAGACTGAAAGGAGCACAACAAACCTCCGCTTTGACCCTGGCATCCTAAAGGTTCAGTCGTCGAGCTCCTCGTTTATCTAAATCACTTTGTGCTCTTTCAGCAGGTAGTGACTCCAAACATTCAGCTCATTCAGGACCTTCCTGCTGTGACTTTAGCTTATTGTGCACTTTTTACTTTTTGAAATATTTAGCTTTGTCAGCCATGTTTTTTTTTCTAATCAAAAGTGAATGACGCTCTGTTCACATCCTTGAAACCCTTTAGCTGTTTAAAACCTTTTACTGCTTTGGTCTGCTTCAGCTCCTTTGTGCTCGTTTCAGCTGTTTTCAGCTATTACTCTGCTCCTTTTAGCTTCTTTCTTCTAAATTCAACATTTTAAGTTAGTTTTATAGATATTTTTCTGCTAATTTTAGCATGTTTTCTGATCTTTAGTTTCTAATAATTTTAGCTTTTTCTTTGCTCATTTCAGTTTTTTTGTCACAAATTTCAGCATATCCATTTTACATTTCAGTTCAGTTTATTTATATAGCGCCAAGTCACAACAGAAGTCATCTCAGGACACAATGAACAGAAACGTACAGTATTAAAAAAAAACAATTGGTAAAAGTTCTGCGTCTGAGGAAGCAGCAGATTGTGTTGAATCTTTGTCACTGTCTCATCCTGAGCAACACGAGGACAACAGTGGAAAGGAAAAACTCCCTTTTAACAGGAAAAAACATTTAGCAGAGCCAGACTCATGACTAGCAGCCATATCTGCTTTGATCGGCTGGGTTTGAGAGGACAGGAAGGAGGAACAGCTACACAATGGCAGGTCCAGGTGTACTTTTTATAGGAGGAAAGACAAAAACGCAAGATAAAAATAATTACAAATACAAACAGTAGCGTAAGTAAAGAGAGCAGCAGATTGAGGAAATGTGGTCACTTTGTCCTTCAGCAGTCTAAGCATAACTAAAGGATAGCTCAGGAAACCCAAGCCAATAGGATTTATCAAAAAGGAAAGTCTTAATCCCAGTCTTCAAACTGGACAATGTGTCGACCTCATGGACAAAAACTGGAAGTTGGTTCCACAAGACTGAAAGATCTTCCTCCCATTCTGCTTTTGGGAATTAGGAACCACGAGTAAACCTGCAGTCTGAGAGTGTAGTGCTCTGTTAGGAAGATACAGAACAACAAGATCTCAAATATAAGATGGAGCTAGGTTGTTGAGAGCTTTGTAGGTTAGAAGTAAGATTTTGAATTCAGTTCTGGATTTGACAGGGAGCCTGTGGAGAGAAGCTAAAACGGGAGAGATATGATCTCTCCCACTAACTCCAGTTAAGACTCTGGAAGCAGCATTTTGGATCATCTGAAGACGTTTTAAAGAATTATTTGGACACGTTACACATTTCTGTTTTTTTTTTTCTGCTGCTTTCAACAAACGTCAGCTGTTCAAATTCAGCTCACATCAACAGTTCTGCGATGAAACCTTTTCAGCTTCTTCTGCAGCTTTCAGCTAAAGTCATTCAGCAGTAAACATTCACACTGCATTTTGCAGGAAATGCAGTTTCTCTAGTTTTTATTTGATATTAGTTGAAGCCGAAGTGTGAGTCTTCTACCTCCGACCAGCCACGTTGACTCGGATCACCTCTGATGAATTTAAAACGTTCCTCGATGAAATCTCAAATCATCGCCTCCTCTGAGGCCAAAGCTTCAAAACTAACCCGTCTGGTAGTGCTCAGAGTATGGATTAGGAAGGACTCTCAGCTACTACCACACCAAAGTTTATTTTAAATTCTGTAAAATTGCTTAATTTGTGGCCACTTTAGTGTTTTTCAGGTTAGCTTTGCTGTGGCAGCCATCTTACCTGTACATGTTCATTCACTGATCACTTCCTGAGAGTTTCAGTACAGTTAAGTTCATGAGATATTTTGCTAACAAACATGCCCATATAGGAGTAAATCGATTACCACCAGCCTCTCGTGGAGGTGAGGCTCCAGATGAGCGTCTTCTCTACAGCTGATGTTGTGCAGAAACCTCAGGAATGCTGTGACCTTTGACCTTTGGGCCGGTCACCCCGGGGTGTCCCCGTCAGCCTACGTGTCATGTCTGCATCCCTGCTATCTCGTCTTCGCTGGAATCCACTCGTCTTTCTGATGAAGACGCCCCGGACCTCTGCAGACAAGAGTTTGGGTCCTGGATTATGTTTCGATGGAATTAAAGAGAATTATCAACTAATGACGTCTTTAATCCAGACAACAAAGAGCTGGATTAGCTGCGTGATTAGACCAAATAAAGGAGAATTAAGAAGATTTGTGCTGCGGCTGAAACGCTGTAAAGATGATTAAACCACAGAGACGAAGAGTCCGATGAAGGTTTCAGTAGAAAATCTAACTGGAGGACGTTTGATGCACAAAAACTGAGAGAAACCTTCTTTAACTCATAATCTGAGCCATGACACGACTAATAACTCAGAATATTGTGCAGATGTGATGCATTTAGGAACACGTGACCTGTTCTGGACAAACGAGTCACCTGGAGGACGTTTTCAAGAATGAGTCATTTTCAAATTCTCCGTCTCCAAAGCTTGAAAATGATCCGCAGCTTGAAAACTGCAGTTTTACTGACGCCATCGGGAATTCAAGCCCTACATTTATAAAGGGCGACCCCCAAGCTTCACAATGATGCCAAACATTATACGAAGGGATTTCCCAGCTGGCAGAAGGGGGGGGTTTCACTTTCAAAGGATATTTGTTAAAAACTTCAAATTAAAGGTGGATTTGAGGAACTATATGTTATTCTGTGATTTCTAAATGGCGTCTTTAGGGACAAATTTTCACACAAAATTCAATTTTGGTAAAAATCAACAAATTTTTTTTTCTGCCGCAGTCTGTTCATTCTGACTTCTTTTGTCACCACGGAGCACATATGTGGCATTTAACACAGAAGTCACTTTAAAGTTGATCCATTTATCAGAAATCGAATAGAAATTGTTAAAAAGAAAAAAGCTCCTGTGTAGAGATACAAAATATTTGTGTTTTTGTATCAGGTACAGGATCAGTACCACGATACTAATGACTATAGGTCAAAAAAATCTTTCCGTTGAGATACCGCCTGCTCATGTTCAACATTTCTCTACAACTGAGACGACGGGCTGAAGGTTGAATTCAACCCACTGCTGTTAAACTCTGAGCCGTCCAGTCACAGAGCTGAATAGGGTCAGAAGTTTACATACAGCCATCATGGGCTTCAATGTCGTGCTAATTTAAAGTTTTAAATGGTTTATTTGAAACTTTTTTTTTCAAAACACAACTTTATTTAAACAAATGTGTGCACATGTACAAGTTTGTAGTTGTTGCAAACACTGGATCCAAATTATACATAACTCACATGTATACATACTGTCACTTGGTTCAACATCCCACAGAGTTTGGTCGACATCAGCAGCTTCCAGTAGATCTCTGTTGGATGTTTGACCTCTTACTTGGTGCAGTGCACTACTGCATGCATGATGCTACCACCACCGTGCTTCAGAGTTGATGCGGGGTCCTTGGATTAGAAAACCTTGACCCCTCCACATTAACTTCTCTCCATTGTGGCTAAATGAAGTAGTTTCTGTCTGTCTCAAGGCCTTTGACCCGTTGTCGTGGCAACATCACGTTTCAGCTGAGCTGAACAACTCGTCTTCGACACGTCATAAACATCTTCTGGCCTTCAGTGGGCCCCGAGCTTCAAACTCACTGTGAAAGTTTCTGAAACTTCATTGAGGAAACAAGGTTTTCATCCAACGTTTGCTGTGATCTGATGTTCTGATCCTCTGCAGAACCTGGACCAGACACACACACACACACACACACACACACACACACACACACACACACCTTCCCCCTCCTTTAAAATGATGTTTAAAGAGCAGAAAACACAAAGACACAGGAACATCCATGTGTGAGTGTGCATATTAAAACCCTCCTCCTCCTCCTCCTCCTCCTCCTCCTCCTCCTCCTCTGGGACCTCTGGTGCTGCCAGCCTTGGCTCCCCTGACAGTTTGGTCCGTCTGCGTTGTTTGTTTCTGTTATTGTCTGTTTGTGTCTTTAAGGAGTGTCTGTTTGTTTTAATGAGCGTGTGCTTTTCCTGCTGCGGCCTCAGAGCTGCTGCTCACATCTGCCCAGCTGTTGGAACATCACTCAGTTTATTTATTACACTACATGAAAAACATGAGAAATGGATCATATCGTCATGACTGGGAGGGTTTCAGGACACTTCAGGGAACTTCATCGTTTTGCAGTGAAACAGATCATCTCACAAAATCATCATTAATGTGCAAATGATGTTTTCATTATTTCACCCCTTCCGTTCCTGCGCTACTGAAATCGCAGCTTTTAGATTGACTTTAGATGTTTAGATGTTTTGACCTAGATGAATTTTTAACGTCTGTTATTCGCACTTTGTTTACCAAGATAAAAATTAAAACATATTTTGTGAGGGAGTTACAAAAACGTCTCGAAGCTGCATCTGTAAGTCG